AAGTTAGCAACCCCTTCCCGTAAAAACAACTAACACTGAAACTTTTTAGAGCTCCAAGTCCTTTGTTCTACTTAAGATGCATAGGAATGAAAAACCTGTAATACCAAAAAGAGCAACTGGATCAAACTTGACGCTTATTTATTGAACCACTAGTAATAATTAATTTCTATAACTTATAACGTCAAATAACTAGACACAGTCGCTGGGAAGTTCTAAATCTGTGACACTATATACTACTGATTGATTGAGATGAATATTTGTATACTACTCACAATAACTAGTAGTGGTTGGTAGGCAGATAGAAGTGAATACAGTTTATGCTATCAGGAAGATCACATATTATGATCTGAATAAATGCGGTTTCATTAGGAAACTGTGGTAAAATTTCGCCACCTGGAACTGTGTTAATTTCGAGAAAATTTGCAAATTACGAATTTGACCTAAGAAGTCCTGTTTCTCACACTATATCTTTACACCTGTTGTCTTACTGCATATTCAACCTCAGTATATGACGACATATATTCTGCCTTGCTGTTATCCAGCTTACTTTTCAGTTAGGTAGTAAATCGAGTTACATGAATATTTGATATGAAGAAAAACTTCAGTATTTCTTTTAACGTTTACATCTTTAAGGCTTTCAACCACATCAGGGTTTCATATGGTTTCATATACGAACCAAATATTATTCAGACAGTATTTAAATTGACAGAGTATACTACATTAGTGGCGAATAAAGTAAGGCGTAAGATCATAAGTCGTCTAACGTGTTGGTCGGTGGCACAGTGGTCAGGACTCTCGCCGACCATGCACACGGTCCGGGGTTCGATCCCCTGCCGACACACACCTGATATCTATAGTCGGCCTGCAAAATTTGGGCTACCGATATCACATGCTGAAAATTCCATACCTGTACCAAAAATACGGTGTGGAATCAAGCTGTAATAAGTTGTTAAATCTCAGATTTAGACTTACTGTTATTGGGGTTGATCATCATAGCTTGAATATGAGTTTTTACTAGATTACTTATAGTATTTAAAATACTCTCTGTTTATGATGTATTCCTTCAAATAGGAATCATTCATGCAGACAGAAAACAGCTATTGTCTTCTGATACTTTAGTGGTTCAACGAAGCATAGGGTATTGAAGAGAGAAGCCAGGCTCAATCAGTGCATCATTCTACCTTACTTTCTTTTTTCTTTTTACATACAACTCATTACACACTTAATCGCTTGATTTAATTTACGAGTAGTCAGATTTCATTGTTAGTGAACTAAAGTATTCATCAAATATGCTTCCAATAAAGTAATCATTTTTGTTCTCCTGTTTGTTACAATTATCTGAACTGGTTTGAAATTTACAAGTAGAAACAGTTCAAAATTAATATCCGGTCTGTGTGGAAATGAGTGAATATGGAGAATGTTTATAATATCCGGTTTTTATTTGTACTTTCACAAATGAAAAATTTCGTTTCTTAAAATATTTTGTTTTGTTTTGTTTTGAATTTATATATTTAAATGAGCTAAAATGATTTAAAAATTTTAAAAAAGTTTTCAGCCTAATTCTTTTTTAAGGATGGTTAGAGTAATGACCTAGAAAGCTCGACTAGTCATAGTAAACATTTATCAAGTAAATCTACATATTCCTGAGTAAGCCGTCGTATCCTTATACAGATTCGTATCTAAAATTTATAACTGCAGTTTTTCTGAGGCTTGTAAACTAGTACAGTATCGAAGCAGTACACCGTATACAAAGGTAAATCCTCCTCTGCTGCGCTCACTGAAGCTGGTGTCCCCCAAGTTGCTGTACTCTCCCCACTTCTCTTTTCTTTCTTTCTACATGACTTACCATCTTCAAATGACATTAATTTTGTCAAATATGCTGACGACCTGACAGTATCTTTGCCTGTCAAATGTCAAAGTGACTGCTCTAAACTTAATGGCTTTCTGTCAGAAATCAGCCAGTGGTCCAAGGAAAACGGTCTTACCTTAAACCCCTCCAAATGCCAAACAGTCAATTTCACCTTTAGGCATAAATCCGACCTAAACAAACTGGTTGGCTCTCACGAAGTGTGCAACATAGATGGCACTGAAATAGAAACCAAGTCGGAAATTAAATACCTAGGCGTCATTCTATCTGCTGATCTCTCCTGGTCGTCTCATATCTTGACGATTTCTAAGAAAATATTCCGTCTTACCTTCTACATCAAGAAGTTAAAACATTCTGGTATAACCCAACCCTTACTCCTACAATTCGTTAACTCTCGCATTCTGCCTATTATTCTCTATTGTTCCCCCTTAGTTTTTCCCGGGCTACTGAAGAAAGACTATAACATATTACGCAGGATGTTAAAGGTTGTCAGCAGGGTAAGCAACGTGCCACTTAATCAGCTTGTTAATATTCTGGTCGACAGGCACATGGACTCATGTGAAAAATGGGCCAAATCCATTTTATCTAACTCACACCACTCTCTTCACTCACAACTCTCCCCTTGCATCTCATCAGGTAAAACCAGAAGCCAATATAGAAAACTATATGCTCGCACCAGCAAGTACAAAAACTCAACCATACCCTACTTAGCTCGCGTTCTGTGTGATAAAGAAAGCATTAGGCGTGACACCTATAATTCATTAAATAGTCAGTAGTACAACTGGACCTCGTCTTTCCAACTCATATCATTTATAGGTACAACATTTTCTTTCTTTCTTTTCCTTTCCTCTTTTTTTTCCGTTATGTGCTGCTTTGTTTTTTTCTCTCGCTTACGCCAGTAAATATGACAGCACCTACTTTTCTAACACCTTCAAACACTGTTCAGCTTTGGCTTTGCTACCGACATCCCAATATGTTGTTGTCATAATGAACTGAGATTTCCTTAATCTATGTAGAATTCTATTTATTGATAATGTACTAACTGGATGCAATACTGTAGTAAAAATGCTGAGAATTCCATTCTGTATCACAAGTACTGTTTTGGAATAAAGCAAATTATTATTATTAAGTAATCATAGATGAAAATCCACGTGTTCTCATAGGCTCATCGATTTAGTCTGTTAAACTCAACAACGTGGGCTTTCGAAATCTGGTCATAACAATAAGTATGAGTCAAAAAGGGTTTGAGTGATTCAGGGCATAAGTGATATTGTATTTACTTAAAACATAAATTCTCGTTACCATCAAAATGTTAAAGTAGCTTAAAACGTCTAAACTCCCTACAAAAATCGGAATCTTATAAATGGAGGAACCCATAGATAAACCAGTCGTACAACCTATTTCCCACCGACTAGGGTGTTAATGAGCGTTGTCTTCTCTTTTAATTTTGAGTAAATCTGACTATGCAACGCTACTATTGCGGACTTATAAGTCTACATATCTAAAAGCTATTGGTAGGGAGATCTAGATCTGGGCTGTGTGTTTATTGACAAGGTTTATTTGCTCCACAATAAAGGGATTCGCACACAGAAACTCAAACCTGCATCCCTTCATGCTACAGTATGAGACATTATTGATAAAGTGTCGCATAGTCCTTATCGGTATTCATTACTTAGTAACAATAATCAAGGTTCAACATTTTTATTCATCGGTATAATTTATTGTTTTTCCTGTAATAACTTTAATTTTAAGATTAAAAATTAAAGAAAACGGAACAGTTTTATGAATCTTTATACCCTTCCTGAGCAAGTTTATTGGTAGTAAAGAAGGTGATATAATAAATTATGTAGAAATAAAGCTTGATATGGTGACAAACGAGAGATGTTAAGGAATTGTGATTGTAATCAGTATGAAAGTGAAACAATTTCAAGCAATAATAACTTCGATTCGTAGTGTTTCTAGCATAACATTATATATTTCATAGATTGGTAATTCTGTCCTTGGCATATATTTATCATGGAACACGCATCGAGCAATCCTTATGTTGTCAGCCTAATGCAGTAGTAAATGCATTGATATCAGTGGGACAAGAATTCGTAATGTTAAATATACTACAACACAAGACATGAGGAATTAAATACTTAGCATTACTGACGTTATACGTAAAGCTTTCGAGTGGAGCGCGAATGGGAAGTGACAAGTTGGGTGCCTAAGGGTAATGTGGAAGAGATTATGTGCAGAAGTGGTCAAAGCCTGTGGGCAGTTGTGGAGCCAGCTGAAAATGGTGGCAGTGAATGGCGTGTAACTGAGATGTGTCGCTGAAGCCCTTTATTCTAGTGGGAACGTAATGAAAAGTAATAATAATAATCAGAGTGATTTAATAATTATTGTCAATGAGGCTGGAGATGACAGACGGGTACTTAGACTTGTGATGTAGAGAAAGTCTACTCAGAGTTTGAGATATGCGCTAGTGAAAATGATAAGCGTACAAACTAGCTGTAAAGCTCTCAGACATTTGTTCAATGATATTAAGAAAGATACTGCACACTACTGGCTGATTTATAGAAATATATGTATACTACTCAGAACAACTAGTAGGGCTTGACAACCAGATCAAAGTGATCCAAACACTGGATGTCTGTTTCTATTCTTTGGGACCGAGCTCCCGAATTTTAGTTATTTATTTAGAAGAACTAATGATACATTGAATTAATCCTCAAGTTTCGACTTTGACTGTGGAAAGATGATTACGTAATCGGTTGCATTAGACGTATTCACTATTCATTAGAAAAAGCTGTATAGATAATAAACAATTTCTAAAGTTTATATTTATAATGCTTGGTCATTTTAGCATCACTATAGTTCAGTGGGACTTAAAATGCTACAAAATATTTTCTTAACTCAATAAATGAAATCATTTTTAACTTTTGAAACTTTCACATTGTCTGTTGTTTGCTATTACTAGGCGGAAGTGGTGAGTCCTTGTTGGTATAACGGATGCTTTGATAGCTTGATGTTACTTGGTAGGTTTTTGTGATTATCTTAGTATTACGTATTTTTTTAACTACATTCTAGACATTCTGTTGTATATTGAAAGTAAACTAAAAAATTATTTAAAATTTGCAAAGAAGTCTTGTCACTTTGTAAACAATTTATTAATTAAACCATATGCTCCGTTTAGAATTTAAAATAAAAGAGTAATTTAAAGGTTAGTTTTTAACCAACATATGTCTTTTATGAATATATTTCATATTTCATACGACCCAACTAATTATCCCAGTCTCATTAGTCGTACAGCTCGTTTAGCAGCCGTTGGATCGAACATTCCATTGGAATAAGAATCCATGAATTCTTCTGCATTATCACCTGGAGTGTATAAACTTCCTCTAGGTGCTCCCTCCGCTGGATACCAACGACGAATCGGCTCGGCATAAACCTTTAAAGCTAAATTTAAGGTGTAAAAAGCATTATGTTATGTTACAAGCGCATGTATATATTTCATACAATATTCATTTTGTAAACATAATTTAACTATGCGAGCACTAATACTTCCCTTTACTTAGTTCTTATAAAAGCTAGAAAGAAACCGTCATAGGAACCACATTAATTAAAATGTGTCATAACTTCAGAGTGTGAGCATAAAATAGGTGACACAAGCACACACACAATTTATGGAGATGCTAAAGGAAAAGAGACAGAATGTTGTCACTCTGTGAGTTGTGCCGACTACAGATAACAGATAATTTGTTGGAACTTTAAGTAGAAATTCAATGATTTATAATTCCTGCGGAAAAATTCTTTTGTTAAAAGTATGTCGTGATGTCTTTTTCCATTCACTGATCAATATGGCTTTAATTATTTGAGAAAACAAAAACTAATTACTTTAATGAACTAATTATCTATCCATATTGGAAAGTTGAATTCTATATTTCTTTGCAAGTAGCTGGTGTACTTCAAATGTAAAATGAATTTAGAATTATATTGCCTGTTTAATGAATTTGAATACTAATCAGCATGATGTTAAGTCGACTGAAGCCTAATCATAAGATGTACAGTTTTCATTTCTAATTTTTCCTTCTTTCTTTCACAAAATGTCATTTAATAAGGTTAGTGGTAAGAATACTGATACGAAAACTTGAAGCAGAAACTCTGACAAGATGATGCATACAAAAGTGTGAAGTAAGACAACAAGACATTTTTATATATATACATATATATGTTGTAGAGAGCGAAACAGCCTTCATTTAATGTGAGTATGGATTATTTTTATTTTGATTACAGCTTGATGCCACACCGTATTTTCAGTACAAGTATGGAATTTTCAGCATGGATATCGGTAGCCCGAATTTACAGGCCGACCATAGATATCAGGTGTGTGTCGGCAGGGGATCGAACCCTGGATCATGAGCATGGTCGGCTAGAGTCCTAACCAGTGTGCCACAGATGCATACCCGATAGATGTTATATGAGGCAGATAACGAAAACTTAGTGTACCTGTAGCAATCTATTTGAAAGTTACTCAGATTAACACATGCTGAAATTCTTAATTAATTTGTTGCATTGACTTCTTGTTTGTTTAGTTCAGATCTCAAAATTTGATGTCAAAAAAGTTTCAGAGTTTTACTGTCTCAATCGTGAAAATGATGAAATCTTGATTGCACGGTTTTATCACGGATTGATATCACTTGGAGAAGTCATAGTTCATGGGCCGTCAAACTCCGTCTGAATAGCTGAATAGTCAACCAGGTCGTCTCGTCATTATTCTAAAGACTCGGGATTCGATTCCATGTAGAAACATGGGTGTGCATTGATGAAAAGTTCAACAACAGAGCGAAACGGATGTCCAGCACCAACGGATTGATTGGTGACGAAATCTCAGCACGGATCCAAAAAGCTCGGGCTGCTTTCGCCAACCAACACCATCTCTGACATAGGCGTGACATCCGACTATCAACCAAGCAACGTGTGTACTGCTCAGTAGTTCGTTCTGTCCTTCTCTATGGCTCTGAAACATGGCCAATACGAGTTGAAGACATGAAGAGATTGTCTGTTTTTGATCATAGATGTCTACGATCTCTTTCTCACGTTAGGTGGTATAATAAGGTAAGTAGTGTTGACGTTAGGCGTAGAGTGTTGGGCAAAGAGGGAAAATCAATCGAAGAGGCTATAAAGTTACATAGATTGAGATTGCTAGGTCACGTGCTGCGCATGCCTAACCATCGCCTCCCCCGACGCATATTACTAGCTGATATAGGTGCAGGTTGGAAAAGAGTAGGCGGTGGTCAAACAAAAACATGGCATCAATCCATGAAATCCATGACAGTTAAACTGAGTCAGGTAGGGAGATGCAGACTTCCGGGTTGGGGCCCTCGGGACTCTAAGAATCAATGGCTGGAGACAATAGGCGACATGGCTCAAAATTGTTGTCAATGGCGCAGATGTATTCAGTCTCCGTATTCTTTCATATTCCTTTCTACCATTACTCATTCTGTTTCACTCTTATACTTGTCAAAACTCTATTGATTCTCTTCACTCATTTTCTTATCTACCTTTGTGTGCTCTTTGGAACGTGGCAACTCGAACTGCTGCACTTCGACGCCAAGTTCTATGTTGAATCCAGCCAGCCAGCACTCCCTGATTTTCAATGCTTCTCTAACTGATATCAATCCGTCATCAAAATTTGAAACCAGTCAAATCTCTATATAGTAGCACTTGAAAATCTTGGTTGTTGAAAATTCGATCTCACTGAATATCCGATAAAAGTTGTTAAACATTACAAAATTACGTCATTTTGCCATGGAACTTCAAGTTTCGCGTCCTGTTAAACTGTCTCAAAAGAGGTGCATAGTTTATGGGAAAACAATTTCGAAACATCAGTGTTAATTTAAATATTTGTTAATTGGCGGCTAGCTGAAATCACAATACAAGGTAATTCGAATGGTTTTTATGCCTAAAGAAAGCTTAGATGGTATTTGTCAGAATTCTATAAAGAGTTTCAGTGATATTTATTACAGGTCGCTAGAAAACATAGTGGGAGAAAATTTAAGGGAGTTACTTGTTTCAATTATCTAAGCAGCAACTACAGGAGGCACTGATAAGGATGTGGAAGCTAGGATCGGAAAAGTAGGAAAGACCTTCACTAATCTGAAATCAGTGTGGAAAGCCGATCTACTCAGCATGAAACACGTGAATTGGATTTTCAGCACCAATGCTAGTCAAGTTTGTTCTATTCCATGGTTCAGAGACATGGCGCTTGCATCATAAAGACCATTTCCAACAAACTTCAGACTTTTAACAATAGCTGCCTTCTGTCTATACTGAATATCAGATGGCCAGCCAGAAAGGATTAGCAACAAGGAACTCTGGTAAAAAACCAACCCATAAAATATGCCGAAGAAGATGGAGATGGATTGGATGAACACTATGCAGACCTCTGAGTGACATCGCATCCTGGATACTCGACTGAGACCAGAGTGGGGAAAGACAGTTTGGGCCTCCAAGGGTGACTTACAGGAAACTGTATGTGGAGATTAGAGCTTATGAGTAGTCGTACAGACAGCTAAAGAGGACTTCAAAGGACAAGATGGAATGGAGATATGCTGTTGAAGCACTATGTTTTACTCGGAATCTAAGGGAATAGTATATATATATATATATTTATAAAACATAAAGCGGCCTAACCAATAGAAGATTGTCATTATAACACAACGAACTCCTAGATCATTTAATTATTCAAATAATAATTGTTGAAGTAAAAAGTGTTAAAAGACAATTATGATTAACCTCTTCTACTAATTTACACTGTTATATTTTTTGACTCTTAACCGTATATTTCCTCCAAGGGGAAAGTAAAATTATGTGACTAATTTTGATATTCATTGTCAACAGACAACGATCCGAATTATATTGAAATCTGATTATGTAGCTTTTGAGAATAAAGCTGGCGATCCACCGTATGTGTTCAAAAGAAATACATCCAATCATTGCCCCTACTGTGGCCATCATGAAGAGTCAATCCCACCAATAATGCTTATCCTATTACCTTTCTTGTCCAGCTATCCCGTTTATTTCTGTATTTCTGCATTACTAGATTTGGTTTCTGTTTTTTAAAAGAATTTTTTATGTGTCCGAACTTCCTAACTATTTTATTAATACTGCGTCCTTAATCCGTAATTGTACAAACTGACAAGTTTTTCAGTAATTGTGATCTTATTATGTCTTTTCTACCTGATCTTCCTGATTATTACACTTTGTAATTTTATCAGTCTTACCTTTGACCTGAAATATTTCTAGAGTAGTACTACTACCTATCTACTGTTTATTACACTTAGTAAATTTTTTAATTTAACCCTTGGCCGGAAATAGTTCTGGAACCTTCTCACACATTTACTATAGATACACGAATGATGACTTCGTCGAAAAGATTTTCTTCTCTGCAACCATCTTTCGAATAAAAAATGTCGGAAACATTCTTACATAGTTGAATTCATTCGATATTATGAAATGTTTTCCGTAAAATAATAAGGTGAACTGAATAATGGTGTCAGTAATTTGTTAATATATGCACTATGAAAAAGAGTCTAACAGTTATCCAGATCAGTGTTACAAAAGTTTTGAAGAATAACAAATTAAAAAATCGACTATTACTTCCGTGACTTCGAAATGTTGTTATATCACAGTGTGTGTATAGCGAACTATTGTCCAAGAGTAATTATAAAAGCTTGAATCACAAATGTTTAACATATACATCTCCATTCCAGTTAGCCTCAGGAAATGACCTTATTTAACTTGGTTTCGTTTACAGTGTTGAAGAACCTGTCGCTCTATAGTATATATCGATTTTTCGTCACATAAAATCATTTTGTATTCGTAATGTCGTTTGATGGTCATCATTCGTAGAGGCAGCAAAGTAAAAAGCACCCTAAGTTATCAGTTAGGACTTGTTGTAAATGAGGAAAGAGGAAGTAGTGTTCACCTTACATAACGTTTATTCAAACAAAATTACCTGTTTGGCTGACATACAGCATGATTATAGACAATGTGAAAAGTATGACTTTTGAATTTCCCAGCATCTTTTTGTGAATATTTTCTCGAATATAATGTGTTCTGGAAGAAGAAAAGTGATAGGATTAATACAATCTCTTCCAGTATTGTATAAGAAAATACAAGTTTTAATGGTGAATAACAAAAATCATGCTTCAAAAACACAACGTTTTCGTCCTATAGTTTCAAATTATATATTTGCAAGTTAATGCAACAAGTTTTTCAATATGCGACTCATGTGATCACATATGCGTCGGTGGCACAGCGGTAGAATGCTCGCCAACCATGCTTGTAGTCCTCGGCCGACGCAAGCCAGTAATAAGACTGGCAAAAGGGAGGGTTGGGCATGAGGCTAGCAACCTAATCCCGTAAAAATAAACACCACTGCTACTGAAACTTCGAAGGCTTAGCTTGAAGCCCTATGTTCCACTGGGAACGTAAACGAATAAAAAAGATGGACACATATGAAAATCTATGTGTTTTTATAATATAAACTATTTGTTAGCTCACTATATTTCATTCAGTGTGAGTAACATAAGCTTTGTAATACTTGAAAACTTCTAGAATGTTCTTATTCATGCTTAGCTAAAGTAGTGTGATAGAAACTTGAGTCGTTTATAAGACTTTTTAAAACTAAAAACTGTTCTGAAACTAAGTTGCATTTTCGTGAATTAGGCTGCTGAAAGATTCTCATCAAATATCTATGCATCGAGATAGTTAAGACTATCATTATCATCCCTATAAAACCACTTAACTACGTATTTTTGTCACAATTTCACAGAGCTATATTAAACGGTGGGTAAGATATTAGATGTTATGTAATCTGACAGACTTATGGAATTCATGTAAATTTAATGTGAGGCAAAATCAAAGTTATAACAGTGTGATTATATCTGAGAATATAGGAGATACAAGTCACTCATATTAGCATGCCTCCTCTCTCTAAACTTCACATATAATGATGACCACTTGTAACTGTTCCATGGCTATACTTATCTAGACTGAATCAGTGTTAAATATGCATGCAGTTAATATTTAAGGCACGACTTCCTACATGCATCATGCTGACAGCTTTCAGATCTACAAACAGAAATCAAATTTCAAAGTCTTTCTTGAATGTAATCAATTTGTGATATATGACTGAGAAAAGCCCTAATGTTTCCGCTTTATTCCTTATCCTATATTTCAATAAAGTGTCCATTACTAATGCCAGGTTGGTGGAAAATACTAAGTGAGCTGAATGATTTAACTGTGAAGCTTTCATTGTCTTTCTAGGCAACATTTTTAGCGTAGACTTCAATACATCCGTGTATATTTGAGGTTCATCTGAATTGACCATATCGAAAGATAAATAAATTGAATGACAAGTGTATATCTGATTGTATTTTCGATTTATTATTGTGCTGTGATGTAATGCACTGCTGTCTCTCTTGCATTTATGATAGTGTAGACATAAACACACATTTTTTTGATTAAGTAAGCGGGACTGTTGATTTTGAGTCATAGATAAATTCATTTTATGCAGAAATGTTCATCAACTTATGACATTAATTTTATCTATTGACGAGTAACAATTCAGAGCCACAGTTATATTGCTACTCTTAGCACATATCCAATTAAACTAGCTAAAATAATTCATCACCCGAATCTGTGCAAACAGAGTTAAAGGGAAGGGTGATTTCCCAGGAAAACAGGTTATCAATACTTCCTTCTAGTAGGTGGTTTAACTTAGAATATTACAGTAGTCTACACACTAAACTATCTGTCCGGTATTTCAGGATCGAGTTAACAAGCTACGTGCTCTAATGTAGATCACCCAAAGAGATGAACACTTGAGTTTGCTTCTAATGACATATCGCACACAATGCTAACTGATCAAAAATTCATGTCATTATGTGCTTCTATTACGGTAAGCAGGAGCCATACCAAGTGTTCCAAAAGCTTATTAGTTTTTGGGGAAAGGGCAACCTATGTGCTTTTGTATTTATTTTTCAAAAATTAATAATTTCACTTTTGTCTTTGTTACATAGAAATTTTGAGTGTGTGTATTTCATAGTGTCTGCTCAGCTAATATATCAGACTTATTTCTTCAAAGTGTAGTTTTTATTGCGCTTGTAGAAAGAGACAAAATAAGGAAATAAGATAATTTTTATATAATATTTCTTATCTTTGACGCGAGTTTTGCGTCTTTTTGAAGAAAGTATAACTGACTACTTTTTAAGTTGACCATTCAAAGTTGAGTAAAAATTAATGCTTTATAAAAACATGTGACATTTGAAATTTTGGTAAATGGCGTTTAACTTTTCATGGGCCTCACGTGTATTCATCCCTGTAAAGCAATCATAGGAGACTGTATATATGTGTAAAACTTGGGCACTGTGGTGGTATTTAATCCACATTAATTAAAAAGTGATGAGCTAGCACCATCAATAAACACTGCTACAGAAACTTCAAGTCCTAGCTTGAAGCCCTATGTTCCACTGGGGAACGTGAAGGGAAAAAATTGTTTATTAGATATATCACACAGTGAAAAAGTATTATTTACTGCATGACAATGTTTCGAACACAATTAATTGCTCACAATCATATCAATTATAACCACACAACTTCGAAGCTTGAGTTTTATAGTTTTCTTTATTCTTTCCTATTAATTGGTTAAAGGATCCTGTGGAGACAGTTAAATAAAACTATTTAGTTTATCTAATACCCTGCAATGATTGTCAGGTTAAATACATAGGTCAAAGTAGTAGAACGGGGTCAGTCAGAATAGTGGAGCATAAAAACCTGGCAAAATCTAGATTAGTTGACCCTAATAACATAAGAAATCTGGAGACTAGTTCAGCCATAGCACTACATGCAGTTACACACAACCTACAATAGGATGGACAGGATAAGATGACAGTTTTAAAATCTAATATAACAGGGTGGAGGGAGAGATTGATAACGGAAGCTTTTTTAATCGAATCAACTGCAAATACGTATAATAGGAATGATTCAGCACTATCCCAGACATCTGGTAAATTCTACTACCAGTCCTACGAAGAATGGGAAAGAATAAAGAAAACTATAAGACAGAGGTTTCGAAGTTGTGTGGTTATAGTTGATATGATAATGAACAGCAATAAATTGATTCCGAAACCTTGTCATCCAGTAAATAATACCGTCTCACTGTGTGATATATCTAATAAACAAATTAACATGGAATCGGTAACTATAATTTCATCTTTATACAGTATTTATATACAATCTTTTTATGCATGAGAAGGAAACTGTATGATAGTATAAGATTCTACTGCTTTTTAAGCATTTTGGTAGTACTCAATCCTTTTTAATGTATACTATATCTGTTAACTTTATTTTCATATCTGTGGTTTCTTTGATAATTATTTATAATTTGATGTGCTGTTTGTGAAAGGTGATCAAACTCTTTAAAGCACAATAATAATAATGTTATTTGTATGTATATACCTGACTTTTTATGTTCTGTTGTATATACAGTTATGTCACCAAAGCGTAATTAAAAAAATTCATGTTTGCATGAAGACAGTCAGCCAACCTACTATAATTAAGGTAAGTCAGGCGAATATATCCACATTTTCTAATACAAAAATTTTGATAACACTTGAAACTAATTTTCATTCTATCCTAAAATGTAGTAGGCTAAAACAACGTTGGTTAAACAAAAAAAATTGTGAATATATATGTACATAGATCTACATAGATCAGTTAACTTGTGTTTTATACCTCTTAGCAGTCATCTGTAATAATGAACATCACTTACAATGAAAGAAATACTAAATTTCTCCAGGAATTCTTATTTAGGTTGCCAAATGAATAAGGAAAGATGAAAACTTTATCAAATTTCTATGGCTCTTCAATACTGACAGCTGTTTTACTATGCTAGTTCAGCTAGAAAGTTTTTTTATCATACTTTTGTGTAAACACATTATAACGTTGATTATTTACAATTGACTAATATAAAATTAAGAATACTTTGCAGGTTGAATAAAAAAAACCCATTTTTTTCAATAAGTTTGTTTCTGTTTTCATCATGATGTGTTCATTTATAAAGATAAAATATTTTTATTAAAGAAAAAACTGACATTTTCCTATATTTTTATTTGGTTAGTAACTTTAGAATCAACTTAGCTGGCATAAATGCTTCCAGTAGCATTTTGTGGCCAATTTACGATGACGTTGGACATATATAGTGAAGCGAATTGTAGAGACAGGTCATAAGGTCGATTTCCATAATGCCTTTAAACCCATATATAAAACAATGTTGGGTCACATACTTAAATTCGTTGAAGCGTTGGTCATAAAAAAGACTTAAACCTGTCTTATGTGTCCAAAAGTTATTTGTTATTACTTTAAACCTGCCTTGGTAATCCAATTTAGAACCAAGGATCAATTTAGTTCATAAGTATTTTCAACCCCTTCTTTGCTTTGTTTTTTCTTTCTTACTCACATCTTTGCGTTATTTGTGAATTTGACCTGTACACAATCTGATCTGTATTGTAATGATTCATGCCTTCTTGCCGTCTCTAAAACTGTGTGTGACAAGTACATGTGTGATCAGAATGTCCGAAATATGTTGCGCAAATACGCACATTACACGTTTCAGATAAACTACGTCTTCTTACTGTGTTGTCGAAGTTCCTAAAGGAAACTAATTGCAAAATTGTTTCTCCAGTCAAAAATTTCTCTGACGTTTTATTGTTAAGTAAGTGTTTTAACTAATAAGACGAAGAAATAACCACTGATGACACTCATTTTAATTCACAGGTATGGCTTGAACTGCAAGAGAACTCTCTCACCGATCCTTCGCACATTATCAGGAAGGCAAAAAAGAACTACTGCTGAACTTTGTTAGTCAAAGAACATATGAGTAAACTCTTGTAAGTATTAATTAGCCTTCTTCAATAAAAACTTTTTATTATTTCGTGTTTTTAGTTGAAATGCCGATCTAATAGCCTTTTTAATCAAATAGTAATATTTTATCATATAGTTAAACAAAAATTTGCCAGTTTCTAGCTATTGCTTACGCCAACAATGAACTGGTA